GAAGCTCTTGTGAGTAACTTTGACTTTGGAGGGCTCCCCTGCCCCGCCTTCGCACACGTACCTGTACCTACGTGTCCCCATTCACGTCTGCCAGTACGGTGAAGGTATGCAGATCCCTTTGTATAGAGGAACTTCCGAAGCAAGCACGTACACGGACCCCATGTCTACAGAAAATGCGCATAAAGTCTGTTTGCTGCCGGTGCTAGTCATTCACTGCGGTATCAGGACCACGACAATTGCATAGAAGGTGCGAATTCTTTGTATAAAAGGAGATTCCAGAGCAAACACGTACAAGGGCTCCACCTGCGTACAGAAAATGCGCATAAAGCGTATTTGATGATAGTGTTAGTCATTCGTTGCGGTATTAGGACCCTGGTAATCGCATAGAAGGCGCGAGTTTTTCGTATAATGAGAAGTTCGGAGGCAGACACGTACGGGGACCCCGTCTGCGTACAGGAAATGCCCACAGGAAGAAACTAGCATATACATAGGCAACGTAGATGGTGACGACATTGGGTACAAGGTCTATGCTAACACTCTAAAAGATGGAAAGCGGGGGGCGGTGGTGACGTATACGGGGCGGTGGGTAAAACGGGTTCGCGCACCCATTCATATGCGCGGGGACGACGCGACCATGAAACACGTATGTGATTTCTCGCACAGCGCCTAACACACATACTCACACATATGTGTCTCTGGTACCTAGACGTGCTCTCTCTCAAGCCACCAGCTGCTCGTTTTGTCGTATTCACTGCGTCAATCACCTCTCCTTTTCGCTCAGACCTACATGTGTTTCCCTGTTCGCATATCTCAGTGCGTGAAAGTATGCGAAACCCTCTGTATAAAGAGAAGCTTCCAGGTGAACACGTATCACGACCCCCCCTGCGTACAGAAGATGCCTATATAATGAAGTAGCTATAGAAGTGATGATGATAGTTATTGGGTTGGGTACGATGACTACAATAATATCATAGAAGGTGAAGGAGGTGGACTTGGCGCGGACATACAAGACGTGGGGGTCATACGAGTATGTGCCAGGTACTGATAAATGCAGAATCACGCGACTATGAAACAGAGGTGTGAGTCTTGCACAGCGCCTCACGCATATACTCACGTGAATATCTCTATTCACGACCCTACTTACACGTGTGTGCCTCTATTCACGTCTCTCGCATGGAGGTGTGCGAAACCGTTTGTATGAAGGGAGGCTTCCAGGCAAACGCGTATCAGGACCCCACCGGCGTACAGAAGAAGCCTACGTAGTGAAGTAGCCATATGAATGATGAAGATCGTTACTGGGTCGCGTACAAGGACTAATAACAATAGCATAGAAGGAGAAGAAGGTGCAGCTGGTGGCAAATATAGAGGCAGTTGTCGTAATACGAGTTTGTGCAGCCATTCATCCATGTAGGCTCGCGCGACCGTGAAACGCAGATGTGATTTCTCCCCACAGCACCCATCCACCTACTCACACGTATGTTTCTCTGTTCACGACCATGCTTTTACACCTGTTTCTCTGTTCACGCCCAAACTTTCACATACGTTTCGCTCTTCACGCCCATACCTACACATACGCTTCGCTGTTCACGCGCATACATACACATATGTTCCTCTGTTGCCCTCTGCCCGTACGTGTAGGTGTGTATAAAGAGAAGCTTGCAAAGCAGACACGCGTCTAGAACTCCACCTCCGTACAGAAAGTGAGCGTAAAATGGTCTTCCAATTTTATTTATTGGTTTTCCCTGTGTGGAATCTCCCATTTTCTTGCTTTCTTCTGTTTTCACATTCACCTTTGTTGCCGTGCGAAGTGTCTCGTTTGCCTTCAAAGCGAGATACGTACTTCCACGCGTGATTCGTGTGGAAGAGGTCGTGAGCCTGAAACCCCCGAGATTCTGCCTTTTACCTCTTTTTTGTCCCTTTCATACGTGTGCTGAGCCACAGACTAATAGCAGAACGGGAAGCTGAAATGCCCACACTTTGGCTCTCCCCTCTTCTTTGTCCTTTCACGCGCTTATTGCAGTCAGAGAGGAGAGAACGCACCGCTGCAAAGATGAATGCAGCCGCCTGAAGTCTCCTTCTGCCGGGAAGACCACGCAGGGACGTACGTGTGTGTGTCTGCGTGAGTCTGCGTGCCCCCGCTTCCATTCCAAGGCTGCTGTGGCACCTTTCGATGGTATCGTATGTAGATCTATCTTCTCCGCCAGGCTTCACGTATACACGCTTCGTTACCACGTGGCATGTATACGTGCTTCCGCCCTCACGCTGAGGCTGCTTCGGCGCCTTTTCCTCGCGTCGTGCGCAGATGTGCACTCCTCCGCGGATATCTACTACTCAGCGGCTCTTCTATACACGGTTCATCAGCATGTTGCGTGGTACGTGGTTCCGCCTTCATTCTGAGGGCACGGTGGCAGCGTTTTCTCGTATCTTACGTAAATATATACTCGTCCGTAAATAGCTAGTGTTCCACAACTCTTCTTATATGCAAGCTTCATTAGCATGCTGCGTGTGTACATGGTCCCGTCTTCATTCCGAAGCCGCTCTGGCAGCTTTTTCCCGGATCGTCCTTAGATATATACTCCTCCTTAGACAGATACTGGTCCACAGCTCTTCATATATACCCGCTTCACTAGCGTGTTGCGTGTACACATGCTTTCGCCCTCATTGTGACGCTGCCGTTGGACCTTTATCCTCAGATGACGGTCATCAGCGCTGTCTGCGTTGAACGCCCTGAAACGCCAAAACGAGAGCGTCGCTGCTCTGTACTGGACATCGAGGCGCGATGGACGGTGCATCCGGCCGTCACTGCGAACATTCCAAAATAGAGGAACATACAGTCTTTCGTGACACTTCACATACCACTCTTCATTCGCATGTGCGTGTTTATATGCTCCGCCCTCATTCTGAGGTTGCTGTGGCAGCTTTTCTCCGTATCCGTCGTAAGTATGTACGCCTCCGTATATAATATACTCGTCCAGTAGGCTTCATATATACACGCTACATCAGCATGTTGCGAGTATACATGGTTCGGCTTTTCATCCTGAGGTTGCTGTGGCAGCTTTTCCTCGTGTAGTATGTAGGTGTACACGCCTCCAAAAGGCTCCATCTATAGAAGCTTCATTAGCATGTTGCGTGAATACATGCTTCGGCTTTCGATCTGAGGTTGCTGTGGCAGCTTTTCTCATACAGTATGCAGGTGTATAGTCCTCCACGAAGCCTCATATCTAAACGCTTCGTTAGCAGGTTGCGCGTATACATGCTTCGACTTTCATGCTGAGGTCGCTGTGGCAGCTTTTCCTCAGATAGTACGTAAGTATACACGCCTCCACGAGGCCTCATATATAGACGCTTCAGTAGCATGCTGCGTGTAGACATTCTTCGGCTTTCGTTTTGAGCATGCTGTGGCAGCTTTCCTCGGTATTGTACGTATATATACACTGCTCTGTAGCTATATATACTCCTCCACGAGGCTTCATATATCACGCCTTGTTAGCATGTTGTGTCTATAAGTGCTTCTGCCCCCAGTCTGCGGCTGCTGTGGCAGCTTTTCCTCGTATCGCACGTGGACATATACTCCTTCAGACGCTTCATGTGTACACGCTTCATTAACACGTTGCATCTATACATGGTGCCGCCCTCATCATCAGGCGGCTGTGCCAGCTTTTCCTCGTATCGTACGTAACCATGTACACCTTACGACGCTTCACGTGTACAGGCCGCATTAGCCTGATGCATGTATACAAGCTTCCGCCCCTGCCGACGTACGGCAGCTGCTGTTGCAGCTTTGCCCCGAGTCGTACCCGTAGGTGTATACTCCTTCGCCTCGCTCACGTATACACGCTCATTAGCATGTTGCATGTATACGAGAGATGATCGCGGACGACATTTTGACCCTGTCCATTCCCGCTACCGCTGTGGCCAGCTCCACGCGTTGACTGATATATTGTCCTTCACGGCGCTTCATGTGTACCCGCACGACTAGCATGTTGCCTGTATACATTCTACCGCCCTTGTCTTGAGGCTGCTGGGGCAGTTTTTCCTCGTGTCATACGTAGATATACAATTTTCCAAAACGCTTCATGTATGCAGGCCTCAATAGCATGTTGCGCGTATCCAAGAGACGAAACGCCGGCCACTTGGTGAGGCCTGTCAATCTCCACTATTACAGTGTCCAGCTCCACGCGCTCGCAGATGTATTCTCCTTCACGGCGCTTCATGTGTACACGCTTGAATAGCATGTTGCCTGTATACATGCTGCCGCCGCCGTCTTGAGGCTGCCGTGGCAGCTTTTCCTCGTATCATACGTAGGCATAAAATTTTTCGGGACGCTTCATGTTATACAGGCCTCATTTGCATGTTGCTTGTATACAAAAGACGAACGCGGACACATGATGAGCCTGTCCATCTCCACTACCACAGGGTCCAGCTCCACGCGCTCGCAGATCATTCTGCTCACACGTGCCATTCAGAGTACCGTCCGGGACGTCGTTGATCACGTCCGGCGCGTCTCGCTGTAGTACAAAAAGCACCGCGTCTCTCGATACACGATACTCCACGAAAATGCATGCACATATACATATATATACACAGATACGTCTATATGAGTATGTATACATATATATATATATATATATATATGTGGGGCAGTCATACACTCGTGGATGACACGTGTCGTATGTGTACATGTACATATACACAGATATATATATGAATAGATGCATACGCGCCTCATGTAGCACGTTGCACGTATACAAGAAGCGAACGCATACAAAATACCTCCACCCCCTGTGCATCCGCACCACCACAGTGTACAGCTCCACGCAGTCTAGGGCGGCGACGTAACAGAGAGGCAGCTGTGCGACCCTGGCTTTTCACCGGCGAGGTACATACCCGCGCCGTAAACCCCTCTCCTATTCCACGCATGTGTGCTCTCGCTACACTTGTAGGGGAGAGTAACACACGGGAGTCTCATACTGTGCCGACGTTCTCAGGAGGACGGAGGAGTTGATGTGGCGTCGTTCTTTACGTTTTCATTTACTTCCTCGAAGAGTTCTCGAATTAACATCTCCGTTGTCCACGGCCCCGGAGGCTCGCGCATTTTCTACATGAAACGCACGTATGAGAGATACGTAAGCAGCAGCACGGTGGAAAACCAGAAAACGAGGATATACTATACGTTGCAGAAGCAGTACACTGGGTGTCGGGACATACATCATGTCTGCACCTGCTTAGTGTTTATGAAAAAGACACGAGATCTAGGTGTAAAGCGAAACTTGCGATGTTTTCGGGAGTCGTAAGACATGTAGAACTGATATATATGACAGTAAAACATGGAAAATATGCTATTCGAAGGTGGTAAGATAGCAATGCTTCCAAAGAGAAAAAATCTACGGCATTATTCGTTCCTGATTTGCATATTCCAGAAGCAGCAAGTATCCAGCCGCGTGCTTCGTCACGTATATACTATCGGACGTCCACACGTCAGAGCAAAGTGGATATTACGTCTCACAAGTGCAAGAAGCTGTTCTCGCCTTTACGTGCTAGCGTACGCTTGGTTCTACGCACCCAGCTGGCACGCACGTCGGCGTACATAGGTGGCATAGTGCCGGCGGAGGGAGTCTTTGAAGTCTTTTCGATTATGCGGCACCTGACCTCTCGAACATGTACGCACGCGTATGATTATCGAATGGTTTGCATTAATCCGCCTCTCGTGCGCGTGCACGAACGCCCCACTACATTTGTGGTGTAGTCCTGCATCGAAAAACCTGTCTGTACTTTCGCATGGTCATGCGAGACTTGGTCCGTCGAACGTGTGCGTAATTGTATGCTGCACATCCACGTTTCTCGCGTGCGCACGGACGCACCCCTACACGTGTGCGCAGTCATGCGGAACAGCGTATCCGTTCGCTTGTATAGTCATGCGGTAGTTGTATATCTGTACGCTTAGACACGTATGCAGCAGTTGATTTGTTGAACGGTCTATGTAGGCGTCGGTTTGTCTAACTGCAGGGACCAGCCGGGAAGTGTAGCAGTGCTCCGTTCCTACGTGTGCACCACGTCCGCGTCCACTTGTGGCGTACTCATGCCGAGGAAGGCCTCTAACACTTTTATGTGATTGTATGCGTGCTTGTCCCTTGAGCAATAACGGCTATGGTGATTGAACCGTAGGCATCAGGCCCCGTCGGCCCCGGACGTGTACTCGCCACATTCTCTTTCCCCTCTCCTCTCTCTACGTACGTTTATATGTATACATATATGTGTATATATCTATATCAGAAGTCGTTTCCTGCGTACGCACGCGCATCCGCGAACGCGTGTGACGTCGTCGGACCGGAGTACGTAGTTGTACGGTCTGCGCTTAGACGGACGCTGGCCTACCGGATAGATGTTTACGGCGTGATTCTTCCTGCCACCAAATAGTGTGTACGCGTGTCTCTGTGGGATACTACGCATGGCGTCTTGAAATTTGGCTCTGCTCTTATTCCCGCTTGTACACGGGCGCAAGAGTGGCGAAGCTGCGTCTTGTTCGCTCACGGTGATGTCCGGTTCGATGCACGTCAAAAGAGGAGATATGTCAATGCCCGGCTCTGCTAGCCTCTTCAAGAAAGAGTGAAGATCTTCTTTGGAAGGGTCGTAGGCGTATTGACCTTCCTCAGGTGGAGCTCCCCTGCTACCTTTCGCCCCTGTGACTCATTCAAAGGCAGACCAGGCATTCGCTGACGTATTTTTGCGTGGTCACGTGTGCTGACGCACACAATGTCGGGCCTCGTCATGTCCTTCGCTGTCTGTACATCTATATACATATACATATATGTATGTATATATATATATATATGTACACGTGTATACGTATACAGACATATATGTAGATATGGTTCTCCCTTTGTGTCGACGTCCTGTCCTCCTGTGGGGAATCTCGCGCTCCAACCACAATTGTACGCCTGTACTACACAGAGCCAAAGAGCTAGAGCACGAGGTTTTAGCCTCTATCTCCTATAGAGGGCGCACGCATTGCTCCTGGTGTGCCTACCTGTATTCATGGTATATGGAACGTATGTTGTACACATATCTGTAACCATCTGAGCAGGTCTTTATACTGTGTACGCGAATATAGAGCTTAGCACTCCTAGACGCTGTAGTATACACTCCGACACAGTGAGTGGTGGCTACCGCAAGCTTCGTATGTGGACGCGGTGGGTATGCGCTGCCTTCTACTTCCCCTGCTTTAGCTGCGCTGCCACGACTGCCTGCTAAGACAGAGTCCGCGCTTAGAGTCAAGGAAAAGGCGTGCAAAGAAAAGGTACAGGCTCGGCATACAATTGCTTTTAGGCGTGCTCCGGGGTCTACCATACCTGCCTTATGTAAGATAGTCGTGTCATGAGGGCGCTCCAGACTCCAATAGGTACACGTGAATCCACCAGCTCCGACGAGCAAGAAGGCAAAACTTGTGCAGACTGAAGCCTGATCTGCGCTTTCGCTTGTTTGTAAATTGCCCACACATCCCCGATACTCTCTAATACTTACATACGTCCTGTCGCCGTGTTGCCCTTCTGATTCAGATGCAACACGCTCCGCGCCTGGCTCACAACTAGCAGCCTTGGCAACGATTCATCCCTACGCGGATGATATACACAAATACCTGGGGGCTTGCTTCCCATGCCCGCAGAACCAAATATGCTTCCGTGCCCGTATTCTACATATATATATATATATATATATATGCGGATCCACATATATATCTGTACAAATATACGCGTATCCTCGCTGATATCATGCATACAACCACGTGGATCCGCATTAAAACGTGCACCTGTAGCTGACTTACGGCCTTCTGCTGCGTAGCGGCCCACTGCGGGTGTGCCTTCGTCGCACATCCCTACAAACGGGCTCTATTGTGTGTGCTACATTTCCATCAATGCGCCAATGCCACTCCTTCCCCCTCTCCTATCGGCGGCACGTTCTGTATGTGCATGTGCGTATATACGTGATTGGGTGAGACAGCACCCCTGCACCGCCCACGTATGTGAGAGAGGTCCATTATGTGTATTCGCACGTACATCACTCGACCACGCAGTTTTTCCCTTCTGCTGTCAGGTCCGCGTCGTGTATGTGCGTCCACGTATATACCTGGTGGGGCGAGCTTATGCCTCTTATAACATATTCTGTAAAGCGGCTCAGCACGTGTACTCACGCGTACATCATGCGCGCACGCAGCTCCTCCACCCTCTCCTGTCAGCGTACACCATACGCTCAGGCAGCTCCTCCTCCTTGCCCTGTCAGCCCCCCCTTGCGTAGGTGCCTGTCCGTGTATACGTGGTTGAGTGGAACAACACCCTGTTCGTAACGCGCCTCTATGGAAGCGGTTCACTGTGTATATTCCACGCTCACCGTACGCCCACGCGGCGTTGTGTGTGTGCGAGTACATGTATGCACGGTGGGTGATAACGCCCTGTCCTAACACCCCTTCATAAAGCGAGTCACTGCGACTATTCACCACTACGTCGTACGCCCACGCAATTCCTTCCCCTTCCCTAACGACTCGGCGTTGTGTATGTGCGTGTACGTATATACCTGGTCAGTGTGGTAAGACCCCTTCATGAGACACACCTATTGAGGCGATACATTGTGTGTATTTACACGTACGTCACATGCGACGCACACATCCCCCTTCCCTATCAGCTCCGCCTCGCGTATGTGGCGTGCACGTGAACACGTGGTGGATGCGATAATACGCGTCGATACAGAAATGTCGAAATCGCCAGCAGACGCTCTTATTCCGATGCGTTGCCTCTACGTCCGCGCAAAAGCACAAGCATACGTCTCTCCGTGCACCCGCAGGCCGCAGAAGACGTCTACCCTGTGGGCCTGTAACCCGGGATGACAAATCGGGTTCTTACACGACGGGCGTCGCCAGCTGTCTTCCAGTCTGCGTGATCCTCCCGCGCCCGTCACACCCGGTCATTCCAGCGCTGAGCACCTGAGAGAAATGAGAGGAAAAATCTATGATCAGTACCTCTGTCCCAGCCACACCGCTAGTGCGTCGTAACCCTAACGCGTCTCGTCCACATGCACAAAGACTCTCCGGCTCAGCCGAGGTAGGCATATGTGCGTGCTTCTTCGCTCCAAGACAACCTAGATATGTACGCTTCACCACTTCTACGGCTCTTCAGAGTAGGTCGACGGAATATGTCTTTTATCGACGGTGGCGGCTCATTGCCGCCTAACACAACTCTATGTGCCTGCTTCTTACTTCAAGACGACTCAGACACGTTCGCTTCCTCTCATCTGCTGTTCTCAGGAGTGATGAGACGATGGTTTCCCGTAGCCGACAGTGGCAGGTCACCATAGCAGGATGGCCTCAAACGTGTTTGGAAGTCTAGTGCAAGCACACAGTGCTCAGTTTATGACCACGTGAGCATATGTGGAGGCCTTCTCAGTCCCAGACGTCGTAAACATGCTCGCTTCTTCGTTCACGGTAGTAAGATGACATATCTTCTCAGCTGACCGTGATTATTCA